GACTTTAAACTCATCAAACAAGGTAAGGATGTTTATCTGGAGGGTACAACATGATTCCCTACCAACTGCTCCTTGGTTAAAAAATGGAGGTTTACTACCTTCACCTACATGTCCCAGTTGTGGGTACTTTGCGAAGCATTTAATTCAATGTGTTACGAGACTGTAGTAAAGTTAAACAGACGTGGTTAGCCATCCTTCCAGATTTGGCAACGGGAGATTTTTTTGTGCAGGATTTACAAATTTGGATATAAAATAATATGAGGAGTGTGGTGTTTTTTGAAGATATCCCATGGGGGATCATATTTGTTCTTTTTTCATGAGGGACCATATTTATTCATGCTTTATGGTACTGTCGGTAATGCCGCAACTTATCTATTTTTGATGGAAAAACTCACACGTTTCATCAAGGCGTTGGAATAGTTTAAGAAATTTGAGAAACTACATTATCTTTCTAAGTTTGCATAATGTGCATTAATAGTGTGTATCCAATTTATGAACGAAAATCTCCAATGATAAGATTGTTTTGAGAGACTTGTACGAACTATTTTTTTGATATAAAAATTTTATTTATATATTGACAAAAAATAAAAAAATAAAAAATAATTTATATAATTTAAAATTGTAAAATATACTTGTCAAATATTTAATAAATTCAATGACAATGTCTCTTTGAGAAGATAAACGTGTTTTGTTAAATACTCTTACGGTGAGAACAATTTTCAAAACTCTTCCAAATTCCACGTTAAGATGATTGGGTTCCTGAACCAGTTGACAATACTATAGGAGGAGAATTTGCCAGCACATTGAATCCTAGATGATCGGGCTGGACCAATGTACAGAAAGTCAATAATTTTTTGTATTTTACTCGACTAAGAAGAGGTAGCGTTTAAAATGTCATTGAGTTGTTGTATCATTATTGAAAGTCCAATCAGCCATAAGGTAGCTGCCCTTTCTTGATGACTTTTTAAATACAGAACAAGATCCTGTATCACATTGGAAATTTACTTTTGTCATCATTATGCGATATTGAAGAATCCAAGCTCATCGTAAGCGCTGATTTGATTAAGTAATACACGAAATTCAAGAAGAAATCAGCAGACACCGTCCAAAATCAGTAAAGATTTATAGATTTACCAAACAATACTCCAATCCTGGTCTCCTTCATTTTCAACGTGTAAATTTGCCATGAAAGTCAGGTCTTATAATCTTTTTGGTTCAAATTTATATTAAGATCATAATCTTCAATAATGCCACATCAAGTCTCCGGCCAATTATTCCTTCCCAATCAATACAACTAAGCTTTGCTTTTAAAAAGAAAAGTCGTCATGTAATCCATCAAAGGAAAAAGATAAAAAATAAAAGGTCATTCCCTCATTTCGAAGGTCTACATTTCTTTTGTCCTCCTATGCAAGCAATGCTCCTTGCAGCATAAATAACGGAACTCAATAAACTCATATGCACAAAATTAGCTTCAGAAAAATGAAGTCTCCCCGCTTTTTAGTATTTCCATTTCTTTTTGCTGCTCTCTTCTCATTGTCACGGGCAACTCGAACTCATGAGAGTTTTCTTCATTGCCTTTCCCTTCATTCCGAAGACTCCTCTCTCATTTCGAAAATCATCTATACACAAAATAATTCTTCCTATTCGTCTGTTTTGGAGTTTTCAATGCATAATCTCAGGTTCTCCACGCCAACCACCCCCAAACCACAAGTCATTATAACACCATTTCATGAATCCCATATTCAAGCAACAATTTACTGTTCAAGAAAACATAGACTTCAAGTTAGAATTCGAAGTGGTGGCCATGATTTTGAAGGTATATCTTATGTTTCTGAAGTTTCATTTGTCATCATTGATTTGATTAATTTTCGATCAATTGACATTGATGTGGAAAATAAAGTTGCATGGATTCAATCGGGAGCAATTCTTGGTGAGCTATATTACAGAATTGCAGAAAAAAGTAAAACTCTTGCCTTCCCAGCCGGTGTTTGTCACACTGTAGGTGTTGGTGGATATTTTAGTGGAGGAGGTTATGGCTTATTGTTTCGAAAATACGGTCTTGCTGCTGATAACATAATTGATGCGCAATTCATTGACGTTAATGGACGAATTCTTGATAGAAAAGCCATGGGAGAAGATTTATTTTGGGCCATTCGAGGAGGCGGAGGGGGTAGTTTTGGGATTGTCATCGCATGGAAATTAAAGTTGGTTCCTGTTCCAGCAACTGTGACTGTATTCACCGTGAGCAAAAAATTAGAACAAAATGCAATCAAACTTGTCCACCGTTGGCAATATATAGCACACCAGCTTCCTGACGGAGCATTCTCCTTTGTTGTTTTAAGTAGTGTAAATTCTAGTCAAGATGGGAAAAAGACGATTTTAGCTTCCTTTAGGTTATTCTTTCTCGGTGGCGTTGATGAGCTTGTTCCATTGATGCAAGAGAGATTTCCAGAGCTTGGACTAGTAAAGGAAGATTGCACTGAAATGAGTTGGATTGAATCTATTCTCTACTTCGGACAAATTCAAAATAAATCCTTAGATATTTTACTTGATAGGACTTTCCAAAGTCCTCTCATTAGTCCAGCCTTCAAAGCAAAGTCTGATTATGTGAAGGAACCTATTCCTGAAATTGCGTTAGAAGGGCTATGGTCAAAGCTTCATGAGGAAGAAGCAAAATCGGCAAGTATATTTTTTGTGGCTTACGGGGGGATAATTGATGAGATTCCAGAGACTGCAACTCCATTCCCTCATAGAGCTGGCAACTTATACAAAATTTTATACACCGTAGGTTGGCAAGAAGAAGACAACAAAAATTCCCAGAGGTACATAAGTTGGATTAGGAGAGTTTATAGCTACATGAGCTCCTTTGTTTCAAAGTCACCACGGGAGGCATATGTCAATTATAGAGATCTTGACATTGGAACTAATAATAAAGGTAGCACCAGTTATGCACAATCAAGTGTTTGGGGTCATAAATATTTTAAAAATAATTTTGATAAGTTGATGCGGGTGAAGACAATGATTGATTCAGAAAATTTCTTCAAACACGAACAAAGCATTCCTCCACATTTGTCCCGGCGGAAGGAGAGAGGCAATTAGAGTCTATATAACCTTGGTGGATACTTTTAATCCAAAAAGCACAGTAAATGATTTCGATTGTGATCATAGTACTAAATAAAATGTTTGATTAGTTCTTTGTTCCCATTTCTGGAATAATGCATGAATGGTATGCCTAGCCTACGAAATAACATACCATTAATTACCTTTGGTTGAAACAATTTAAAGTGTGTTGACAATAATAAATTTTAGCCTTTCTTACTCCAGATTTCATTATTAGATACAATAACGTGCAAATGCAAGTATAATTTTTAGCTTCTGGCCCTTTAATGTTCTAAAGATTCAGAATAGTGTAATGCATTACATATTTGCTGATCTGTTGTGTCAAAAATTCTCTGAATTTCGTCATACACTTCGCGGAAAAGTTTTCCAGTGTTGAATCAATATTTTCCGAAGAACAGAAAGGGGTTGTTGACTTTTGCGTACATATTATTAATAATCAAAGCAAAGAGTATAAATATACTTCAATGAATTTGTTTCAGCCTAAAGATAACAATAGGTTAGGCCGTTCAATCTATAGTTCATCAATAATCTATGTCCCACAAGCTCTACCAAACAAAATTTGATTTTATTAAAAAAAAAATTCTGATTGCTAAGTTGCTCCGATGTAAGCTTCTATATATGTCATAACTTTAAAGATGTTTATGATATGAAGATTACTTATATAAAAGTTTCTTTTCACTTGAAAATTTAATTGGCATGCTGTGTTTCAATACTTGTTTAGCGAAAAATATAATTTAATAAAATTATTAATTTGTTATTGTTATATTATTATTAAAAGTGTAGTTCACACTTGTCTATTAGGGGATTGAAGTTTCAGTGACCCGCAACAAACTCGTGTGCTTGCGATCCTAACCCTATGGTCATAGCCCATATGCTAATTGATTCATTTCTAGGCTTAATGGGCTGTGGGAAATGGGTGGGGAGTCCGCTACTTAAAGCCCTTCTTTTAAAGTCAGACAGTTGAAACCTGACTCACCTGAGCTGGTTTTCAAATCAGAATTAGCCTCAGGAACTTGAAATCTCCATTACAACTCTAACAAGATCAATCTTAAAAAATCCAAAGAATTTGCTCAAATCTCACTTGAGCTTGGAGCAATTTCTTTTCTGATCACTTTCAGAACATTGTGCTTTCCAATCATATGCGTTTCGCATGGTAGCAAACACTTGATTGTCAATAGAGAAAATGAGAAGTGGTTGAGAGAATTAAGGGTCAATGGCTCACAAAATATTGTTCAATAGAAGATTTGGTAAATAAATAGCACATATAATTTATATAAAATTTATACAAGCCTTTAATTAACTAGTATAAACCATACTGCGATATTTTTTGGACTTTTAAAATAAAATAGAAGATTTTTCCGGTTATGCTTGGGGTCACAATTTGATTTTTTTTTAAATATAAATTACTTGAATTTTTCGTTTAACTGGAAGAGTATATATAACCCTCATTCATTTAAAAAAATCTCACTTATAATTTTTTTATAAATCACTATTTTAAAATTTTTTCCAATTAATTATTTTTTATTATTCAATTTAGTTAGATTGTCATTTTCATTACATTTTTTTAATTATTGTTTACTAATTAATTAAATAATTTTATTAATCAAAATAGACACATAAAATAAAAAATAGTAATTGAGTTTGAGATTTATGCATAAGTTGGCGAACTCTTTCTAAAAAATTGGGTTGTATTTCCGCCAGCACACTTCAAAGATGAACCAGCCTAAAGGCCGGATCTGAAGGGGTCTGGCTGATCCGACCCGCTTCCTCTCATTAGTCTCCAATTTGTCTTTTCCTCTCCTTTGAAACGGCGCCGTTTAAGATCCTAATAAATAACCCAAAGGCCCCTAAACTTCCATTTTCTTATTACTCAACGCCTCTCCTCCTCTCCAAAAATCGTCACCTTTCTTAACCTTCTCTCCTTTCGCCACCGTTCCGCCGTCGGCCACTGCTGAAACACCTCTCTTTTCTTCTCCTCTCCCTCTCTTCCATCTATCTTATTAGTGATTTCCTGTTCCTCCAAAACATTTCTTTTTCCCTGAAAAAGGACTAAAAACTGAAACTCATTCCCCACATTTCTGGCCACCGTCGCTGTCACTCGCAGCAGGAATACTCCTTCCTTCTCACCCTTTCCCTTTCGTCCAGAATTCCATTGGATGATTTCAGGCAGCAATTTATTGCTCAAGAAAACAAGAGTTCCAAATTAGAACCAGAAGTGGTGGTCTTTTTTATGTTTTTTAAGTTCCATTTGTTATAGAACTCTTGTTTAATTTTCCATCGGTTGACATTGCTGTAAAAAATGATGTTGCATAGGTTCAATCTGGTGCAATTTTTTGTGAATTTTATTTCGAGATTGGTGAAAAAAATAGAAGTCTTGATTTTCCGGTTCGAACTTGTCACAGTGTAGGAACTGGTGGACACTTTAACGGCGGAGATTATGACTTATTGTTTCGAAAAAACGATCTTACTGTTGATAACATAATTGATGCTCAATTCATTGATGCTAATGGAAGAATTCTTGACCGAAAAGTCATAAGAGAAGATTTGTTTTGGGCCATTCCAGGAGGTTGAGGGGGTAGCTTTGGAATTGTCCTCGCTTGGAAATTAAAGTCGGTTCATCTTACAGCGACTGACTGTATTCGCCATTAGCAAGACCTTTGAACAAAATGCAATCAAACTTCTTCACCGTTGGCAATATATTGCACATGATCTTCCTGATGAAATGTAATCGTCGGTTACTTTAAAAGGCGGAATTCTAGTCAAGATGGGAAGCAAACACTTCCAGCGTTCTTTATTTATTGGTGGCATTGACGAGCTTGTTCCCTTAATGCAAGAGAGATCTCATGGGCTCAGACTAGCAACGGAAGATTACATTGAGATGAGTTGGATTGAATCCATTCTTTTCTTAGGCCAAATTCAAAATGAATCCTTGGATATTTAGCTGAACAGGAGTTTCAAAACTCCTCTTATAAGCCCCCCCTACAAAGGTAAATCAGACTGCGCGAAGGAACCTACCCCTGAAATTGCATTGAAGGGTTTGTGGTCAACACTTTCGGGGGTATTTTAATGAATTCGATAAATTTCAACATTGCTTTCTCTAAATTTCTAGTTGATGCTCTAAATTTCATTTTAACGTATTTCTTTACGAATTTAGGGCATATTTATTCAAATAAATACATAATAAAATTATAAATATATTTGTGGAACATTTGCATCCACGTCTCTGACAGCAATTGGTGAAATATTGACAAAAAATCCAGTGAGGTTCCGCATTCATAATGTTGCTCAATAATGATGGCATCGCTTTCATGTTCTTATGAATGGCATACAGCTTGGTACACAGCTTGCACGTGATTTTTTGGGAAGCAGCGATAAGTGCTATGTTTTGACTATATACAGTTCTTATGAATGGCGTATTTTGTTTGAATGTCTAAAAGGGCGTTAATCAATTGCATAAGAATATTAATAATTATAATTAATAGACGAAACTTTAAATTCCTCTTTTCATTCCCCTCTTATCTCATTTTCTTTCAATATTTCCTTCAAACTTTTCGTAAAGAAATAGAAATTATATAGTATAAAAGGGAAAAATTTGTTTATTACGTCCCATCAACATTCTCTAATTCACAATAGATCTACATTTTTGTTTAAAAATAATCAATAACGAATTTCAAATATGGAGAGTTTAAGAAGAGGAGATTTCTTTGGGGTACATTAATGCTATAGCCTATAGGAGGAGAATTTGCTAACCTTCAATCCTTGGCTAGGTGACCGGACTGGAACAATGTACAGAAAATCAATAATTTTTTGTATTTTACTCTATTAAGAATTTAAAATATTATTGAGTTGTTTTTAAATAAAAAATAAAAAATTAAATTCGGTTTTCAGATTTTTTTTTTTAATGGGCTTTGTTTGGCAGTCCTTTATCGTTATCCAAAGTTCAGGTCGACCATAAGATAACCGCCCTTTCTTGATGACTTTTCCAATACTGGAAATTTATTTTTATCACCATCTGCGATATTGAAGAATCCAAGCTTATTGTGAGGCTGATTTGATTACGCAATACACCAAAGTCGAAGAAGAAATCAGCAGAAACCTTCCGAAATCATTAAGATTTATAGATTTTACAATACAATATTCCAATCTTGTTCTTGTTCAGTGTCAACGTGGAAAGTTGCCATGAAATTCAGGTTTTATAAACTTTTTGGTTCAAATTTATTTAAGAATAAACTTCAGTTCAAAAGGGCTTCAAAAGGGAAAAATTAAAAATAAAAATAAAGGGCCATTATCTCATACCGACAGTTCACATATCGTTTGACCTCCAATGTAACCAATGCACTTTGCACTATATAAATAAGTGAACTCAATAAACTCATATGCACAAATTAGCTTCAGAAAAACGAAGTCTCCCCGCTTTTTAGTATTTCCATTTCTTTTTGCTTCTCTCTTCTCATTGTCACAGGCAACTTCACCTCGTACTCATGAGAGTTTTCTTCATTGCCTTTCCCTTCATTCCGAAGACGCCTCTCTCATTTCGAAAATCATCTATACACAAAATAATTGTTTGTATTCATCTATTTTGGAGTTTTCAATGCATAATCTCAGGTTCTCCACGCCAACCACCCCTAGACCACAAGTCATTATAACATCATTTCATGAATCCCATATTCAAGCAACAATTTATTGTTTAAGAAAACATAGACTTCAAGTTAGAACTCGAAGTGGTGATCATGATTTTGAAAGTATATCTTATGTTTTTGAAATTTCATTTGTCATCATTAATTTGATTAATTTTCGATCAATTGACATTGATGTGGAAAATAAAGTTGCATGGGTTCAATCTGGAGCAATTCTTGGTGAGTTATATTACAAAATTACTAAAAAAAGTAAAACTCTATGCGGAGGAGGTTATGGCTTATTGTTTCGAAAATACGGTCTTGCTGCTGATAACATAATGGATGCTCAATTCATTGACGTTAATGGACGAATTCTTGATAGAAAAGTAATGGGAGAAGATTTATTTTGGGCCATTCGAGGAGGTGGAGGGGGTAGCTTTGGCATCGTCATCGCATGGAAATTAAAATTGGTTCCTGTTCCAGCAACTGTGACTGGATGCACCGTTAGCAAAACGTTAGAACAAAATGCGATCAAACTTGTCCACCGTTGGCAATATATTGCACACAAGCTTCCTGACGGAACACACTCCTTTGTTGTCTTAAGAAGTGTGAATTCTAGTGAAGATGGGAAAAAGACGGTTCTAGCTTCCTTTAGTTTATTCTTTCTCGGTGGCGTTGATGAGCTTGTTCCATTGATGCAAGAGAGATTTCCGGAGCTTGGACTAGTAACGGAAGATTACACTGAAATGAGTTGGATTGAATCTATTCTCTACTTTGGCCAAATTAGAACTAAATCCTTAGGTGTTTTACTTGATAGGACTTTTCAAAGTCTTCTCACTAGTCCAGCCTTCAAAGCAAAGTCTGACTATGTAAAGAAACCTATTCCTGAAATTGCGTTAAAAGGGTTATGCTCAAAGCTTTATGAGGAAGAAGCAAAATCCGCCGGTATACTTTTTGTGGCTTATGGGGGAATAATGGATAAGATTCCAGAGACTGCAACTCCATTCCCGCATAGAGCTGGCAACTTATACAAAATCTTATACTCTGTAGGTTGGCAAAAAGAAGACAACAACAATTCTCAGAGGTACATAAGTTGGATTAGGAGAGTTTACAACTATATGAGTTCCTTTGTTTCAAAATCACCACGAGAGGCATATATCAATTGTAGAGATCTTGACATTGGAACTAACAACAACGATAACACTAGTTATGCACAAGCAAGTGTTAGGGGTCATAAATATTTTAAGAATAATTTTGATAAATTGATGAGTGTGAAGACAATGATTGATCCAGAAAATTTCTTTAAACACGAACAAAGCATTCCTCCACATTTGTCCCGGCCGAAGGAGAGAGGCAATTAGAGTCTATATAACCTTGGCTGACGCTTTTAATTAGAAAAGCACACATCATAGCTCTAAATAAAATGTTTGATTAGTTCTTTGTTACCATTTCTGGCTGGCATGATGCATGAGTAGTATGCATTACCCATTAATTACCTTTTGTAGATACAAGTTAATGTTGTTGATAATAATAAATCTTAGCCTTTCTTTCTCCAGATTTCATTATTAGATACAAAAACGTGCAAATACATGTATAATTTTAGCTTTTGCCCCTTGTATGTTCTAAAAGATTCAGAACAGTGTAATGCAGCACATTTTTTCTCATTTGTTGTGCCAAAAAATTCAGTCTTTTCTCAAAGATTTAACGGAAAAGTTATCTAGTGTTGAATCAATATCTTTCGGAAAACAGAAAGGGACATGTCGGCTCATGTGTTCATATAAGGCATCCAATGTTCCTACACATCACAATGAGGTCCACATCTCGTTCAAGTCACTTAAGCTTACAAATTGGAACCTCATGCACCCTCACGATCCATATCCAGCTGACCGAATTTCGTGGTAGATGTCCAATCAAAACCGCACTTAAGTCTGTCCGTAAATCATCTTAATAAAGTAGACCGCCTGTCTTAATGATGTCCACATCTAGTTCAAGCCACTTAAGCTTACAAACTGGAACCCCATGCACACCTCACGATCCATATCCAGATGATTTAAAACCGCTCGGCACACTCCAAGGCAAAATCAAACTCTTACCCAATAGAAAATCTATTGTGATTATAACTCATAATTATAAATAATAAATGAATATTTGTATTGTAAAAAAAATAATAGAAATTGAAGGAAAAGAGAGAAAAGAGAATGTTTTTTATGTATTATTGAAGTAATGTTTGATATGAAAAATTTCTAGGTGAGGTGACCCAAGAAACTTCATACAAAAACATATATCTAAATTACATTATTTTTTTGATAAATCTTACATTATCATTTAAAAAATATTCATATGTATATAAATTTTAAAATATCGAGAATGTGGATACTATGTTTATTATTTATCAGATTTATTTTAATTTGAATTGATGTAATGTAGTGTGATATGTCCATATTTCATAACAATTTGATATTTTATTTTGCTTGGAAATATTGATATTTTGGTTTAAAAATAGTCAATTATACTTTTGATTGAAGTATAGAAGAGGAGAATTTTTTTTACGTAGAGTATTAGCTAGAGTAGAAGAATTTGCTAGCTTAGAATCCTAGATATGCTCGGTCTAGGAACAATCTACAGAAAATCCATAATTCTAATATATTACTCGATTATGAGCATAATATTGAAAATTAATGGAGTTTTTATTTTTTTAAAAAAAAGTATAACAAAAGGAACAATAATGTCAATTAAAAAATTAATTTATCAAAAAAATAAATAAATATTAGAAAAACAGAAAAAAACAAAAATATTTGATAAATGATTGTAGAAGAAAACAAAAATATTTAATAATTTATTTTGCAATATCATTTCAAATAATTGAGCATTGTTCTGTCCTTGCACCCACACTCTGTCAATGATTCATCCTTTGTAATGCTTTCAAATTAAGTAGTTCTAATCAAAAGCTGTCTCTTACCTACCGCTCCCATCAGCATTAGAAATGTTCTTAGAGCATATTCCTTTGCATTAGAAAAAGAAGGAGTGGTTATTATAATTTGCTTTTTTAGTTGCATCGGAAATGTCGTATATGCGAAGAGATAAGATGAATATCCTCTTGGCAATGCTATTATCTGTAGGCTGAATCGAAAGCATGACAACATAAGATACAGTATCCTATTTGTCACCCTTAATTTTTATCTAACCACATGTTGACTTGCTGCTGATAACAAATGGTTTATCAAAAGCACCAAATTTGAAGCCTAAACTCAAACGCACCTTACACTAGACCACTTTATCAAATGAAAAATTCTCAATTAAACAGTAAAAGTTATTTATAGAGACAATTAATTAATCATCACAAATTATTTGTCTGAAATTGTTAGTTACTTACATTATAATTTGACATTTTACATTTATTATTTTGTATGCTCATTGCAGTGGGCACCGGCCAGGCTAATTAACCAAGAAAAAGAATGAAGGGAGGCACCATACTGTCTATCGCAATGTATTTAGTATTTATTTCGGAGGCTAATTAAATACTCACTAACTTACCAAATTTATGAATAGGTTTGTGGGGATCAGGGGCCTGCCGCCAGCCAACGTCCTCCTTCGCTTGGCCCCTCCTATCCTATGTTTAACGCTTTTGATAGACATGGACGGTCTTCATGGAGGAAGTAGAATTTACAGTTACACCAAAAAAATAATATCAAGTAATTTCCATCTGAGCTGGAAATAAAGGAGAATGTGCGCTGGGAGAAGGTTCGCTAAAGATTGGATAATTGCTTCATATAGCATGAGATTGTGATCAAATATTTAAGAATCTACCAAGTACAACCTCTGTTTAAATTTATGAACAAATGAACCCAAAAAACAACCCTAACCAAAGATTTGTAAACAAAAATCTATTTTTTTTCTTTACTGTGTAAGTCCCACAAGAGTATCATGTTGAAACTTGATAACAGTATCTTCACAAAGTGAGTTTCAAAGGTGTTTGAAAAGCCTTTTTGTTAATCAAATAAAAATGATAAATAAACAATCATAATATATAGAAAATGGTAAACTAAGAAGAAGATTGAAATAAATATTAAATCAAAATTAAGATTTTAGAGTTGTGAAATTATAACACAAGAGAAAGAACAAGAGAAAAAGAAGAGATTGGGCGAAATGGAGTTGGAGAGAAAAAAATTAGTTTTAATTTTTTAAAATAATAACATTTATTTTTAAGTTTCTTAAAATTTTAAATTTATTTTTTTAGTGAAATGATACCATTTGATATCGTAACAAACTGTTAATGTATTAAATATAAATTTTAATATAAGACTCTAATTTTGTTCTTGTTGATTATCAACGTGGACAGTTGTCATGAAAGTCAGGTTTTATAATCTGTTTGGTTCAAATTTATATTAAGAATAAGCTTCAGGTCAAAAAGGTTTGATAAGTCGTCACCTAATCCTTCAAAAGAAAGATAAACAAAAAGTCATTCCCGGCGGCTAACGTCTGTTTTCACCTACCATACAAGCAATCTCTTTGCGCCAAAAATAAAGGACAGGCTGGACTAAGCCGTCACCTAATCGTTCAAAAGAAGAAAAAATATAGAAGGTCATCCCCAAAGGTGCACAGCCTTTTTCACCTCCTATGCAAGCAATCTCTTTGCAGTATAAATAAAGGAACTCAATAAGCTCATATGCACAAAATTAGCTTCAGAAAAATGAAGTCTCCCCACTTTTTAGTATTTCCATTTCTTTTCGCTGCTTTCCTCTCATTGTTATGGGCAACTTCGGCTCATGCTCATGAGAGTTTTCTTCATTGTCTTTCCCTTCGTTCCGAGAACTCCTCTTTCATTTCTAAAATCATCTATACACAAAATAATTCTTCCTATTCCTCTATTTTGGAGTTTTCTATGCATAATCTCAGGTTCTCCACTTCAACTATCCCCAAACCTCAAGTCATTATAACTCCATTTCATACATCCCATGTTCAAGCAACAATTTACTGTTCAAAAAAACATGGACTCCAAATTAGAACTAGAAGTGGTGGTCATGATTTTGAAGGTCTATCTTATGTCTCTGAAGTTCCATTTGTCATAATTGATTTGATTAATTTTCGATCAGTTGACATTGATGTGGAAAACAAAATTGCATGGGTTCAATCTGGTGTAGTTCTTGGTGAGCTATATTACAGAATTGCAGAAAAAAGTAAAACTCTTGCTTTCCCAGCTGGTATTTGTCACACTGTAGGACTTGGTGGATATTTTAGCGGAGGAGGTTATGGTTTATTATTTCGAAAATATGGTCTTGCCGCTGATAACATAGTTGATGCCCAATTCATTGACGTTAATGGACGAATTCTTGACAGAAAAGCCATGGGAGAAGATTTGTTTTGGGCCATTCGAGGAGGTGGAGGGGGTAGCTTTGGCATTGTCATCGCATGGAAATTAAAGTTGGTTCCTGTTCCAGCAACTGTGACTGCTTTCAGCATTAGCAGAACATCAGAACAAAATGCAATCAAACTTGTCCACCGTTGGCAATATATTGCACACAAGCTTCCTGACGAAACATTCTCCTTGGTTGTCTTAAGTAGTGTGAATTCTAGTCAAGATGGGAAAAAGACGATTTTAGCTTCCTTTAGGTTATTCTTTCTCGGTGGCGTTGATGAGCTTGTTCCATTGATGCAAGAGAGATTTCCAGAGCTTGGACTAGTAAAGGAAGATTGCACTGAAATGAGTTGGATTGAATCTATTCTATACTTCGGTCAAATTCAAAATAAATCCTTAGATATTTTACTTGATAGGACTTTCCAAAGTCCTCTCATTAGTCCAGCCTTCAAAGCAAAGTCTGATTATGTAAAGGAACCTATTCCTGAAATTGCGTTAGAAGGGCTATGGTCAAAGCTTTATGAGGAGGAAGCAAAATCTGCCGGTCTAGTTTTTGTGGCTTATGGGGGGATAATGGATGAGATTCCAGAGACTGCAACTCCATTTCCGCATAGAGCTGGCAACTTATACAAAATCTTATATACCGTAGGTTGGCAAAAAGAAGACAACAAAAGTTCCCAGAAGTACATAAGTTGGATTAGGAGAGTTTACAGCTATATGAGCTCCTTTGTTTCACAATCACCACGAGAGGCATACATCAATTATAGAGATCTTGACATTGGAATTAACAGTAAAGGTAACACCAGTTATGCACAAGCAAGTATTTGGGGTCATAAATATTTTAAGAATAACTTTGATAAGTTGTTGCGGGTGAAGACAATGATTGATCCAAAAAATTTCTTTAGACACGAACAAAGTATCCCTCCGCTTTTGTCCGGGTGGAAGAAGAGAGGCAAGTAGAGTATATATAACTTTGGTGGACACTTTTACTTAAAAAGCACACAATAAATGATTTCGATGGAAATTATAGTGCTAGATAAAATGTTTGATTAGTTCTTTGTTACCAGTTCTGGCTGGAATAATGTATGAGTGGTATGCATAGCCTGATAAAAAACATACCATTAATTACCTTTAGTTGAAACAAGTTAATGTGTGTTGACAATAATAAATTTTAGCCTTTCTTTCTCTAGATTTCATTATTAGACACAATAAGTTTTAGCTTCTAACCCTTGTATGCTCTAAAAGATTCAGAATAGTCTAATGCAAAACATTTTTAGTGATTTGTTGTGCAAAAAAATTCTTTGGCTTTTTTCAAAGACTTCACGGAAAAGTTGTCTAATGTCAAATCAATATCTTCCAAAGAACAGAAAGGGGCATGTCACCTCCTGTTCATATAGGCTATCCAATATTCCTACACATCAAAGACCTTTATTGTTGGAATTCGGAATATCCTCTTACTCACTATTCGTTTGTGCTAGAGGTCAAAATTTTAGACACGAAGCTATTTAGTCGTTGAAATTAACATCAAGTTTAAGAAATTAATTAATATATTTAGTTAATATATAATTAAAGTTTATACATACATTTTTGAAGCTTTTTAATGTAGCGATTGTCTTTCTGTCCAATACCCACATCAACATTGTTATGTTAGTATGTCATCTATCCACATTTCTATGTAAATGAAAATGTGTCACGTCAATGCTACCATCACCTTATTTAAATGTTAAATAAAATATCATTAAAGAAAGGATTAAATTAGAGTCATCTTCAAAACTGATGGATTAAATTACTTTAAATTAGAGTACAAAGATCAAATTGAATCAAATGCATGAATACAAGAACTTCTTGGATGTTTTGACCATTAATTAATCATCACATATTGTTTGTCTTAAATTGTTAGTTACTTACATTTTAATTTGACTTTTTGCATTTATTATTTTGAAGACTTATGTAGTGGGTAGGCTAATTAACCAAGGAAAACAAATTGTTAAAAATAACCCTCTTTTATAAGTCCAATTCAAAAATATCCTACAGTGTAATTTTAACTATTTTTAGCCAATTTTTGATATGACTTGACAACAATACACTTTAAACAATTTTAAATAAATTAAAATAGTTTTGGTTTTCTCTATCCCGCCATCTAGATAAAAATTTTAAAATTAAACCCTAATTTCTCTCTTTTACCAAATATTATCTATCTTGCCATCCACCTCCATCTCAAAGTTGAGAGGTTGAAATTAATTAAACATATCTGTAAATTAAAACACTATATGACTTTGAGAACTTAAACTTGACTGTGAGCAAGCAAATCAATTAGTTATTAGGTATTACATTATTGGTTTTTGGGTATTGTGTCACTAGGTTTAGGTATTGCGAAATTGATTTTTAGGTATTGCGTTACTTAATCATGCGTCTCTGGTTTTTAAATATTACGTGACTGGTTTTTAGGCATTGCCTAAGTCACACAATGCCTTACTAACTAGTCATGCAATACCTTACTAACCAGTCATGCAATGCCTATCAACCAGTCACGTACTTAAAATCAATCATGCAATATCTAAAAATTAGTAATGCAATGTTTAAAAACTAATCATACAATGTCCAAAAATCGATCACACAATGCCTAAAAACTACCAAATCTACTGAATTTCATTTAACAAAATTAATAACTTCAAATAATACATCATATTCCATTTAAGAACATAATCAATGAATATAATATGTCTACTTGACAAAGAATACTCAAAATAATATGTCTACTTGACAAAGAATGCTCAAAATACTCAAATGTTTTTATTCATGTACCAAAAATCACTCCAAAATGCTAGTAAAAGTTTTTTTTCATATATCAAAAATTACTTCTGATTAATAGTTTTTCTTTTTGATAAACAATACTTCAGAGATGAATGATCTTGACAAGAAAAGCTCAAAAAATATATAAGTCAGTTTCAGTTTGAGACACGGACCTAAACATATAAATCAGTTTTATTAAGAATAATTTTATTTAAAATTATTTTTTTAACTAAAAATAATTAAAATTATAGAAAGTGTTATTTTCAAGAACACTTTATGTATGAGTGGTATTTTTGAAAAGAACATGAAAAAAAATGGAGGCACCATATTGTCTTTCACAATGTATTTAATATTTCTTTTGGGGATTAATAACTTACTAACATACCAATTTTATGAAAAAAGTTTAAGGGGATCAGGGGCCCAGCCGCCAGGCGCCATCCTTTTTGGCCTCGCCCCTCTTATCCTATGTTTAACCCTTTGGATAGACATGGAAAGTCTTCATGGAGATTGGAGGGAGTAGTATTTACAATTACACCAAAGAAATAGTACCAAGTAGTTTCCATATGAGTTGGAAATAAAGGAGAATGTGCACTGGGAGAAGGTTCGTTAAAGATTTGATAATTGCTTCATATAACATGAGATTGTGATAAAAGATGAGATATAGTGTTAGCTCTTGATAAGGTGATATAGTCTAAAAGGAATATCTTTTAGGTGGTTTTACCCAATGTAAATTTATAAATTAAATAAAGCAGATAAAAATCTACACTTATATTTAAAGACAAAATATTAGTGTTAATTAAGTTTTTAATTTATTTTTTTGGTTGTTTGTTCTTTTCTTTTAAAAATCGTGTTAAATATACATTTTTTAAAAAAAAAATTGAAGTAAGTATAATCACAAAATAACAGTCAAAACAAAAAACAACTAGTAATCGAGACATCACATCAACTTGATGTGTATAAAAATAAATTACGTTTATATTATCATAAAATCAAGCCATCAAACATACAAGCAATAGAATCAACACTCATAACTTTTTTTTTTTTTTGAAAATTGGATTTTATTAAGTCAAAAGCTAGAATACCATAACAAGTTTAGCACCAAATTGGTGGAATGGCATAGAAAACTAGTTTTGGGGAGGGCATTGCCCTTGACAATAAGCAAAAGAATGTTGCGCAAAAAGCCTTTGGCAACAATGAAAAAAGGAAATATCCCCTAATAAAAATACGGGCTACAAAAGATTATAAAAGAGTTACAAAAAACCTAATTTTAATAACTAAAACACATAGGTAATTTTGAAAGTAAAAATCCCAAAGTCGCAACATGCAGTTAGTCCCAAGTTGTCCACCTTAACCTTATTAACTATTAAGGATCACAAGAAGCTTCACAACCCTTCCTAAGCCTTCAACGTTCCACTATATTAGAAAGAACAAAGCCCTACCATTTCCTACAAACCAACTCAACAACAAACCAAAGCCATGATCAGGGCTTAACCGAAAAAGCTACAAAGTTGACAACAAAGAGAAAAAGCCCCATTAACCTCGACAACTAATCACAAACATGAAAGGAAAAGAAATCCTCCATTAACTTATCATGATTGTCGCATTCAAGGTTCATCAGTCATACACGAAGGTGCCACCACAGCCTTGTCACCCACACCACACCTCAAAACTAGTGATAACCGTTCCTTTACTCACCCACAAAGTCCTTCAAGCAAGAGACCAGGAATGGAAACAATCCCACACCACATGCCAATTTTACAAGCAAAGTCCCTCCCCTTGAAAACCCACCACAATGACCCACAAACATCCCAAGTCTCAAAACCCTTTTTACCTGAAACTATCTCCACCCTCGAAACAAGAGACAAGAAAAAAAAAACATAAAACTCATGCATCTGTGTCCTAAAACATCCACCTCCCCTTCCCTTATTAATCCTTGAACCCAAAACAAAATCATGAAAATTCCATACACAAATCAATGAATAACAAACTCTTGTATGTAATGGATTGAAGTTTTAGTGATCCGAAAAGCAGACGATGGATAACAAACTCTTGTGCTTGGTATGTTTAACAGAGTTGTGTTGGCTGCTACTCCTGTGGTCATAGCCCATAAGCAAATTGATTCATTTCTAGGCTTAATGGGCTCTCTCAAATGGGTGGGAGTTTGTTGTATAAAGCCTGCTACTAAAGTCAAGCCTACTAAATGTCAACCAGTTTAAACCTGGCTACAAGTCAACCGGCTTTGGGAGCTGGTTTAACAATGTTAATTGATCAATTATATAGTATCTCTAAATCCAATTAATTAGCAACTAGAATTGACTTGGAATTTAGATTAATTTAAACTTACAACTATTTAGACGATCTACGATAACCCAAGCAAAATCTATTTAAAATCTGAATTAGCCTCATGAACTTGGGATCTCTAGCAAAGTAAATCTTAAAAATCCGAACAATTTGCTCAAATCGCACTTGAACTTCAAACAATTTCTTTGCTGATCACTTTCAGAACATTGTGCTTTCCAATTGTATGCGTTTCACCTTGATTTGACAACAAAGAAAATAAGAAGTGGTTAGGAGAGTTTAGGGTCAATGCCTCACAAAATAATGTTCAATAGAAGATTTAGTAAATAAATAGCATAACTAATTTATATAAAACTTTTAAATAAGCTCTAACAGATACAAGGCTTTGATTGATTAGTATAAACCGAAAAGAATATGACACCCAAGACAGAAAATAAGACAATAGGAATTGGTTAAGAGAGTTTAGGGTCAATGGCTCAGAAAATAATGTTCAATCGGAGAATTGGTAAATAAATAGCATATGTATAATTCTTCCTTTTAGGGAGGTGTGTGATAGTTTGTTGCTACAGGTCACGTATCTCTCACTTGGGAGCCAATTGTTACAATAATTCAATTTTAATTGTAGGTAGGCCAAATGTGAAAAATATAGTTGGGAAATTATCTTATACATAATTAGTTAAAACAACACTTATTTCAGATGTTAATTAGAACATAATTAACTTTGTAAAAAGAAAATCATCATTTTTTAAAAAATTAATTTTACTTAAATCTCTCGTAAAATGGTATTTTTTTCATGTAATATCTTAAAGATATAATTTTTTTTTGAGTTTTTTGCAATGACAATAAAATAATGAATAACAAAGTTTTGAATTTCTGAAACAATTTGAAGTTACAATAAGTAAAATTGAGAGGAGAGCAATATCTCGGTTTGTGAGATACAGATAATTTACACCGGGGTGATTGAGTTGCGTGTTTAGGTTGGTGGCATCCAGAGAAAACTCCGCTCAACAAGGCTTTCCAAACCATAATTATTATGGAAAGTTCTTGTCCCTGACACGAATTTCCCACTCCTTCCACTTTGCCACAATGCCACCATGAACCTGACTCATGCATTCCCATCGGACTCTTGTGAGAAACACAATAATTGAATGGAATTTCAAAGCCAGCAAAATGGTTTGGGAATTAGAAGGCTGTTGGCTACTGGTATTGGGTAGTTAAAACTTTGTATATAACAATAAGAAAGTAAGGAGATCTAGAGAAAGTGAGAAAAATCATAAAAGAAACTCAAAAGATGTTTAATTTTTTCAATTAAACAAAAAAAAATTAAAAACTATAAAAGAAAGTTTTTTATTATTTTTTATAAAAATTAATTAAAAATTTAATACTATTACTCTTTGAGAATTGAAGTCAAATTCAAAATTTTATATAAAAATAAAATAATCTCAAGATATTATGTGAAAAATATCATATCTATGTGAGAGACAAGTGAAAAAAATAATAAGAACACGTAACTCATACACGAATAAAGATCATAGTCACTCTCAAAACAGAGAAGCTACCCTTTAAGCAATTAAGCAGCATCTTACAATTTATGATTGTTAATCTAAAAAGATTTCACTATATATGTATCTTACAATTTACACACAACTCCATTTTTTCCCTAAATAAAATCAAGCTTGTTCCTTCGTTGGCAATCTAGCTCTATCGTTTTTACTAGTGAACCGCAAATTATACTATGGGAATGGTTATTCCTGAGTTAATTTTTATCTGAACGTTAATTACTTAGTTAAAGGTTCTAAAGTAAAATCATTATTAAATTAAAAAACTATATATGCCATTCGATATTATTACGATATGTGTAGATTTCTGATCACTAGGGTCCATCAAGACAGGTCAGTAGAATGCGACCTTTCTTCCAAACCAACTAATCAAGCAGGCGGCATACGGTAGATTTAAAAAACCCTTTTTATCATTAAAAACATTTATTAATCGACGTTTGGTGAAGGATAAATCCACAAAGATATAATTATGCAAATGAAAACAAATAACGTAGCATTACCTTCTCTGGATGACAACAATTTAATTAGTTTATAATTATGCTCCAATTCTTGAGCGCTAAATGGTCAAAGAAGGTCCTGCTAAGCAAATTGCTATTCTTTAGACCTTTAAGTTCAACAGATTTTTGTGTCTTGACCTGACCAAGCGTTCCCATGGATGCTATAAATAAAGGTTACTCTTAACACATTCCTATGCAAACAACCAGCCCAAGAAATGAAGATTCCTCACATCTCAGTGCTTCCAGTTCTTTTAGTTGTTCTCTTCTCATTGTCTGGGGCAACTTTAGCTGATTCTCACAGCGATTTCCTTCATTGCCTTTCTCTACATTCAGCAGACTCTGCTTCTATTTCTGAGGTCATTTTCACACAAAATAATTCCTCATATTTATCTATTTTAGATGTTTCTATTCAAAATCTTAGGTTCTCCACATCAACTACCCCTAAACCCTCTGTCATTGTAACACCACTGGAAACATCCCATATCCAAACAACAATTTATTGTTCAAAAACACACAAGCTCGAAATTAGAATTCGAAGTGGTGGTCATGACTTTGAAGGTCTTTCTTATGTTTCTGAAATTCCATTTATCATTCTTGATTTGGTTAATTTTCGATCGATTGAAGTTGACACAAAAAATAAAGTTGCATGGGTTGAGTCTGGTGCGACTATTGGTGAATTATATTACAGAATTTCTGAAAAGAGTAAAACTCTTGCCTTCCCAGCCGGGGTTTGTCACACTGTAGGTGTTGGTGGGCATTTTAGTGGGGGAGGTTATGGCATATTGATGCGGAAATATGGACTTGCTGCTGATCATGTAATTGATGCTCACTTAATTGATGTTAATGGAAGAATTCTGGACCGAAAATCCATGGGTGAGGATTTATTTTGGGCCATTCGAGGAGGTGGAGGAAATACCTTCGGAATTGTTCTCGCTTGGAAGGTAAAGTTAGTTTCCGTCCCAGAAGTTGTGACTGTTTTCACAGTCAACAAGACCTTAGAACAAAACGCAACCAAAATTCTTCATCGTTGGCAAAACATTGGTCACAAGCTTCCTGATGATCTATTCACTGATGTCACGATAACGAAGGTAAATTCCAGTCAAGTAGGGAAGAAAACAATTCAAGCTGCTTTCAAAGCCTTGTATCTTGGTGGGATTGATGAGCTAATTCCATTGATACAAGACAGGTTTCCTGAGCTCGGATTAGTAAAACAAGACTGCATTGAAATGAGTTGGGTTGAGTCAGTTCTCTACTTTGGTGGAGTTTCAAGAGAACATTTGGATATTTTGCTTGACAGGAATGCTCTCCCAAAACAAACTTTCAAAGCAAAATCTGACTACGTGAAGGAACCAATTCCTGAAAGTGGATTGGAGGGGATATGGGAAAACTTTTTTGAGAAAGAGGCAGAAATCGCTTTTATGATGATGGTAGCTTTTGGAGGGAAAATGGATGAAATTCCAGAGACTGCACTTCCATATCCGCATAGAGCCGGCAACTTGTACCAAGCCTCGTACCTTGTGGGATGGTCAAAAGAAGAAAATGCAGAATCTCAAAAATACATAAGTTGGATCAGGAGACTTTACAGTTACATGACTACTTATGTTTCAAAATCTCCACGAGAAGCATATTTTAATTACAGGGATCTAGATATTGGAACCAATAAAGTCGGCTACACAAGTTATGCACAAGCCAGCATTTGGGGTCTGAAATATTTTAAGAATAACTTCAACAGATTGGTACATGTAAAGACCATGGTTGATCCTGAAAATTTCTTTAAGAATGAACAAAGTGTCCCTCCTCTTTCATCTTCCAAAGAACAAGGGTCACTAGAGTAAAAGCGTTCAGATTTTTGTTAAGCATGAATAAAGAAGTCAATGAAAAGTATATTGCAAATAAAGAGTTTCTTTGTTCCTATTTCTGTCATGATGAGATTCATGCCAGGTCTAATAAATTAAAACCGTACCTTTGTTTTGCAGCAAACTTGGTGTAGTTTTTGTTCATCTCTTTTTTGGCTTTAAGTTTGACAGCAACAACCTGCCTCAGAATGTGTTATACAGAAGGCAGGGGTACAAGGCCCCTGCATAATCAACAAACAGATTAAGTTTAACACAATACGCAGGCAACAGGCTCTGATGCATTTGGTATTTTTGGTATCTCTATAGGATAGCTTGAAGCAAGCTTAGGAATAACAAATGATTGTGCTCAAGGGATAAAACCACACCCTTTCCTCATAGAGTCACCACAACCTCAGAGTCCAAGTTCCACAGTGAAATTGGCAAAGCATAATGTTTCTTTCTAATAAGGCTAAATTTAGAGCTTCAGAATCCCCAAAGCTCAGCACAAGTACTCCTAATAATTTCTACTTTCCCAGGTTTTCATGAGGATGAGACACCTACGAATGTCTTAACCAGAAAGACAAAATGCTCTTAGGACAGCACCAACCAATATGTTTACTCAGCTTTTTGTTAGACTCAGGACGGTTGATGATAGCATGAATTTCAGTAGCTTCAGAAACATTGATATCTAATTCTACTGTTAACAACTATAACTGTTTATGGCCTTGAGAAGAGATATAACATTGGGGGTCAAGAATTTGAGATGTGCGATGAAGGGTCAAGAAGTTTGCTGGTAGGCATATCTTACTCTTGCTACCTACTATAGAATTTCCAGACATGACCTAGTTGTCAGAGGCTTTTTTTTTGTTCTCCTCCCTAGAATGAGTTTGTTGAAGAATCAAAGAAAAACACAGTAGACTTTTTTATTAAAAAAAGATCAAGATAAGATACTAGACTTAAATATCCAAAAACCTCACATGCAACAGAAATTGTTGAGTGGGGAAAGACTTCCTTGGTATGATTGTGGACGGTCAGAAAGCTGAGACATCATCCAAATACAGAGTTCCACTACCAACCATCAAGAGTAGACCATTCGCTTATTAAAATTTTATAACAACAAAACTATTAACTTGAGATAATATTCAATATTCATTGACGACTTTAGTTTTATTCATTAATGGATGGTATACCAGCAGATTTTTTCTATTATAATTAACGGATGTTATGTTATAACTACTAAGTTGGACTCCACAACTATGCACGAAAGCAAGTTGGGGTAATCTTGATTGACTAGGCAAGGTGTAATACTATTAATTAATATGGCCATTCCTTCAACTGATTTATCTTTTAAAAATAACAAAAGAAAATGAAAAACAACAACATGGAACATGTAACAAAAATCCAACAACAAGGACATGGGACTTAAAAAATGAACTGAAGCTACCTACCGCAACCATTTTTCAATTTTTTGGACTTAAGCATACAAGCGCGGTAAAGGTTGGAAATACAGATAAGGTACCTCTCTACCAGACTTTGAGTCACTCAAGATTGGTATGAGACGACTCGGATAGCTTCAGGACTTTCTCCCAAAGCCTCACCCAACTTGTACACCACCATCTCAAACAACACAAACATGGCCCCCTCGTAAACACTCCCCATAGGCAGCAACGTTCTTGATTTCTCCCCACCCCCATCCTCCTTATCATCGGCCATTGTCTGTGCTGGTACATAAGCCACTACGTTAGCATGCTTCACACTGGATCCTGTCTCAGGCTGGGCAGTCAGCAGCAACACTCTACCACCATGGGATCGTGCCACCGCAATATGGCATCGACGGTGGAGAATCCTCCAGGGCCAGCCGAGGCTATGAGAAGGTCTTTGGAGTGATGGGGGGAGTGGTCATGTCGAAGACCATGTAGGCAGAAAGACCCAGATGAGCCAGGCGCATGCACAGGGCCTTTAGCATTAGACCTTCCCGGCCTACTCCATAGAGAAAGACGCGACCCTTCTGGGACGCTATGGAGGTCAACTCTGCCACCATTAGGTCTAAGACTGCTGGGTGGGCAGTGGGTTTGGAGAAGATGGAGGCAATATGATCGCATATTTGTGAGGCTAGGCTTGCCATTGAAGTGTTACCGGTGTCCATTGAAGCACAGTTTCTGCGTTCTTCAGTGCTAAGGTTTAGAGCCTCACTCGATATGTTGCCGCTTGGCCAATGACCCGCTTAATTTATAGTACTTCATAGAAGACACAGGACATGTGGAGCAGAGATGCTTTGGATAAGCGTCCGGTTGCAACGAATTGAGAGACAGCAAGGACTTTATAAGTTTTATCCATACAAACTTTTGTTACCTAAGATGGAAATTTTGTTCTTCAATCCAATTCATTCTCAAATCCACTTGTAAAATATGATAACACTCAAATTTCCCACGTAGAGTTGGCACTGTCTTAATTGAAACTTATGTTCAGAAAAAATCATCAAACAGATAGCTTGTCCTTCATCAGCATAACGGCAAATTCCTATTTCGAACAGTTTGTAAAGCCCTGGCAAGGTGTGTAGTAGCGACAATATAACTCAAGGATGTATATGAATCAGGTTGCACAACAAAGTCGCAGTACCTTGCCATTTTGCTTATTTGTTAAAGACCAAACGTTGGGGTGCCGCGAGATTCACACAAACATGCCAAATTCGGGAAACTCTTATGTACATGTGAACTCAAATATGGAAAAATACAGAAACCAAGGTATTGTTCTTTTTTTGCACCAAATTACCACAAATGAAAGTCAAAAGAGTCAACTTTAGGTCTCAGATTGGTCTGATGACTTCTACACTCCGTTAGCTGGACGTGCAGAAGACTTTTGAGGCAAAGTTGAAGTATCCTCCTCTATGTCTATGTCTTTGACACCAGAACTTAATGATGAAGATGAATCACCCTCCACATCATCATCTTCATCGTCAAGGAAAGAGCCCTTACGTCGGAGTTCCTTTACCTTCAAAAACTCATCATAGTGTGCTTTTCTCTGTTCCTTAAAACTCATACCACTCCGATCTGTTTCAGAATCTGAAAAAAGTGGAATCCACTAGAACCATCAACCACAGTTTGAACACAACACAGTAAATTGTAAACAAGTGATGACCTTAAAGAGGTAAGATAGTATGGGAAGGTGGAGGATACTGAGAGGTGTTGAACCTTCATCACTGTTTAAGAATAGGGTCATGTATGATTTTTAAGACATGCCACTACTATTTCTGATTACTTTCTCAATAATATAAAAAGCATTAGAGAACACCAAGAGAATCACACAGATGATAGGAACAAAGAGAAAATGCCACGAGAAAACGATGGAAAATTCCTAGCTCTTAGTGAAAGCAGAAATTTAGAAGCTATAACGTTGTAATGACACGTCAACAGGTAAATCATGACTGTTCAACAATCAACCTCCCACCCTTCCTCCCAAAAAGAAAAAATTAATTTCTTCTTGAGATGATAAATTTCACTAGAAAAAAAAAAGGGTTTTAACCATCAAAAGGCTGTCTACAAGCAAACCTTATCCATTCACATCTAAGTCTGTTCTGAAGCAACTGACAATATTTTTTGTCCTCACTTTAATTCGCATGAAAGATAAAGCAGTCGTTAGAAATGCTGAAAGGAAAACATTTTTCAAATATGGGTTGTGAAAAGGACAACTTAAAAGCAAGTCAAAAAACCCACCTTCCTGATCCATAGGATCAGCCTCATCCTCAGAAGATGTCCAGCCACCAGATCTCCCAGTTGTTTTTCTACTCGAGGAAGCCACATCATTCAAAGCAGAGCGTAATTCCTCTGCATCCATAGCATCACCTATGCAATCATTGAAACTACGTCTCACAGGAGACAAAGACCCTAAAACCAAGATTCAGACTAAAAGGTGAGAAAGTTATCCAATTTTCAAAATAAAGCTCTCACCAAAAGCAGAAATTAAGTGAAAAGGCTGTAACCAACCTTGTTGAGAAACCACTAAAGCAAATGCAATTTCAGAATGTTGCAAAACAAAACTAGAGCAACAACATTCTCTAATATGCACACATATATTCACACATAAAACAATAGGCTTCTGCAAAAGGGAAAACACTATGTGAATGAACATACCATCATCATCAATCATGGGGTGGTATGGCGTCTTGGGTTCAGTTATCTTCTGCCTTACAGGTTTATTTGCTTCAATTTCCCCCAGATTTGCCTCATCCCATCTTACACGCCTACTGTTACCCCAACAAAGAATTATTAGATCCAAAGCACAACAAAAGAAGGTAACTATATAAAACTAAAATTCTTTCGTCAGTAGCAAACTATATTAAAATAAAAATGGAAGCAGAAAAAAGAACAAATATAATGCAAATGAGAATAAACTATAAAAATGCTAATACTTGACTACTTGAGTCAAGAACCTGGATTCAAACTCCAGCCATAGCCTAAATTAATACATTGATAAAAAATATTGAGGCTGATTTCTAGATGAGTTCGCCATGTCCTTCCCCATTAAAGTGTTACATCTACATAAGGCATTGTCACTTGGCACAACATATAAATAACTCAAACATGCACATTTGCCCTCATATTTTCTGGCACAAAAGGCTCACCTATGGTTGTATCAAACCATTTACAGATACTTTTAAGTCTTTTCTAAAATGTAGAAGTACCTTATGAATATTAAGTAATTTGAGCAATCCATTCTTTGTGAAAATGAACAAACTGCATGGTCAATATACTAAACAAAGCCACATCTAGAATTACTTCACTGAAACCTAAATAGGGAAAATACAGGCTAAGAATTGCAGCTGAAGACATTGAGGTTATTTAGAAATGCAAGAAATGCTTCAAATATACCAATAACTTCTTATTGCATGCTATCATGAATAATAGAAAAAAACGATACACATACGTACAAGTTGACCACCAAACATCCCTACATCCCATCTCATCTACTTCCCAAAGAAAAAAAAAAAAGGAGAGGGGGGGTGGTGTTTGGTATGGGAAAGAAAAAATTATGGAAGATATTAGGAATTACTTCATCTGGAAAAACTCGCTTTCTTCTGAGTGCCAACAGCAAGCTTCAAATCAATCTGATCCACTGAAACATTATTATAATTACTTGTTTAAAGTTTAATATATGGAACATGAAGAATATAAACTGTAACACAGATAACCAATACAGGGTCCTACAACTGATTTATGCTATAAACAGGCTTGCCTTGGCTGTTATTTATGTACAGCCTAACAGTGCCAAGGACAAATCCTGCAATAATGAGTTGAAAGGAAAACAATGTTTCAAAGTAGATAACAATACAAATTGAGAAATTATGTACTAAAAAAGAGCAGAGGCTATAAAACCAAATTGTTACAAAAGCATAACTAGTCAAACTCCTTAGAAGAACTTGTCAAACCTAATATTAGAAAATGCTGATAGTGGCCCTGACATGAAGAAATTATAGAGATTTATCCTGAAATAAACAAAAAAATCTCCAACAGCTGCTCCATCAAGAGAACTACTTGCAGCAAAAAGTTTCATTATCCTAGGGCTACATTCTTCAGCAACTCTACCTAGCTTCGTTGAGTCACAGAAAATTCTTAATTCCCGAATGTAAACCCTAACGAGTCAATTGATTAGAGGTCTACCGCTCTTACAATCCAACATGATAATAACAAGAACAGACAGAATATATCTACATGCAAAATGGACCACTTCTAAGCCAGTTAAGTATTCAATGAGTCAAGGGAGAAAAGGGACCACTAAGAGCATATGACACAACTAATAAACAGAAAAACCCTTATCACAACAAAATTATTGCTATAAAGTACAATTCATGCAAGTAATTAAACCTAGAATCAGACGGGGCGGAATCCCAGAATAAAAAGAAAACAACAATCCATTGAATCAAACATGTAGAACTAACTAAATCAATCCATTAATTCAAGCGAAGGATCAGCCTATGAAGCTCAGATTGGTTGTTGAGAAAAAGCATGAATAAATACACAAAAAGTTTGAACTTTGAAACGTTCAAATTAACTCCAACAATCATTAATAATCCAAAAAAAAAAGTTTTTCCCGTTTCTTTCTCTTTTCATTGAACGAATTATAAGCACATAGAAAACACAAGGAGGAATTCGAGAGAGATTTGTACCTTTCGATCGCTCCTCTTGACTACCAAAGTTCCGCGAAAATGTTCCTTTTTATCTTCGGGAGAAGGGGCCTTTTTTTTTTTTTTTTCTCATTTCTAAGTGTAATTCCTTCACTTTTTATTATTCCGTTTCCCAATTATGCCCTTTCTCCATTTGCAATTACCGGTTGAATCCGGCTGCAATGGAGTTTCCGCCACCGTCCGATTATTTTACTTTTACGTTGTCGCCAGGGACCTTAAGTCTTAACGATTCTCGTAAATCTTGCCACGTAAGCGATTTGGGCCCAAGGGCAACGCTGGAATATGAATGTTGAGGAACCTAGGGACACAAAAAAAAAAAGAGGGAAGAAAACAGAACGAAGATTTCGTTGCAAAATTATAAGCAGCAGCCCTTGTTCTTTACACGGCTTAACGGCAGGAGTAGCCAAAATCCTGCAATTAATTCTATCAAAAGTAAGGTTCATTTCTCATATTTTTCCTGCAAATTTGATTTGTTTTACTGTGTCTTTTGTTGGATCTAAGCTTTTCATTCTTCTTTGCTTTTACCCAAATATGTGACAACTTTTTTCACTCTTGATCTGGCTCTTCTTGTTATGGATTTTTATCACGCTTTTTTAGTCTTGCGAAACTGCTAATTTTCTCCTATTTTTTAATGCTTCTTCTGTACTGAATTCATTAACTTTTTTTTTTTTTGTGTTTTTGTTGTTTGAGATGAGATCTCAGCCTTATCTTTTCACTGCTCAATTGGATCTAGTTCGTTGATCGTTATTGTCAATTTTCATTTTGACATCCTTTCAAAATTAAAGTCTAAATCTTTGAAGAGATTAATTGGCAGTATATGATACATCTTAATTGTTAATTAGATTAGATTTGGCACCTTAATTTTTTGGGAGGAAACAGTGAATGTTGAATGTTTAATGTTAGTCGCATATCAGAAGTAGTAGGAGCTGAAAAAGAAGTAAATGTTGTTTTATTGCAGACAATTTGCTGAATGATGCGCTTCTGAAATGTTTTGGAGGCTTATTACTAACTTAGATAATGAGAGTTGTTGCTATGACTATGAGCAATTTTTAGAGAACTTGACTGGACTGAATTATTTGTATTTGATTCAGCTCTCCTTGATCTTTAAATTAATGTTTCTTGTTTGCTTTGTAGTGCTGACTCACTTCTATTGTCAGGAGTCGGGACTGTAAATGATGACAATAAGAGACAGTTATTTTTAAATTTGAAGGTTAGAAGAAACGGATAATTGATAACAGTAAACTAGACAGAGATGTTCTCACTCTTTTATGGACTTTGGAAGTACCTATTTAGTAAGACAGAGTTTCACGTACTCATTCTTGGAATCGACAAGGCTGGAAAAACAGTAGTCTCTAAACTTATTTCTTGGGTTTCAAAATTAATCTTCTATTCATCCCCCGCAGATAATTACTGACTGTAGAAAGTTTCAGCACTGATCAATTTTGTTATTTGTGAATTAGACTTTGTTGGAGAAGTTGAAGTCTGTATACTCAAACTTGGAAGGCCTACCACCTGATCGAATTGTTCCAACTGTGGGGCTTAATATTGGTCGGATTGAAGTGTCAAATACAAAACTTGTGTTCTGGGACCTGGGAGGCCAGGTAAGTGGAATGAACATATAACACAATAGATATTTCATTAATTATTTACTATGATGATTTGAATGCAAATATAACTCATGCTTTTTGAATGCTACTTCTGAGTTTTGTCCAATCCAAAGCTTTCAGTCTATTCACTAATGTGGCTGCAATGTATTTTTAATAGAACTTCTCAAAGCAGTTTGGTCCACTATTATTGGAATGTACATAAGATAAATTGTTGATATGCAGTTGCAATGTTTGTTGCTAATAGTTTATGTCATGCACAAAACATACATTCAAAGCAAGCTCAATGCGTGATGCAAAGATTTTTCTTTTTTCCTATCTTTCCCAGCTTGGTCTTCGCTCAATTTGGGAGAAATACTATGAAGAGGCACATGCTGTGATATTCGTAATTGATGCTGCTTGCCCTTCACGTTTTGAAGACTCAAAATCTGCACTTGGTAAGTCATGTCAAATTGTTTAATGATATGGAGCTTATGCATGCCATTATAGTGCCAGGGTATTGGCTATAGTTATAACTTGTGAGGTTTTGTGATGGCAATGCAATGACTTACTAATTCCTTCTATTTTATATCCAGAGAAAGTTCTTAGACATGAGGATTTGCAGGGAGCCCCTCTCCTGATATTAGCAAACAAGCAGGTACCCTTAGTCCTAATCCCAAGTCCCCAAAAACGTAGTTATTTATATTAAAAGTTGACAATAGAAATTCTTCCCTTTTTCTTTAAAGCTTTTGTGAGAAATCCCTACTGCATATCATATATCTCTCCTTATATCATTCTTTTTTATTTCTGCATTTAGCACCTTGTTTGTGGCATTTTTATGCTTTTTGGACTTTGAAACATCTGGATTCATGGCAGCCTGAATGAATTTTATTCCGCATTTAGAATAGAGGGGTTAGAGGAAAAGGTCTTCCACAAAATGGAAAATTCTTGACATTACTAACTGTTATATCTGCTTTCCTTTTATTCTTTATGAGAAACAGTGGGATCAAGATTTTCTTCCATTTCTTTTGAATTTGAGTGGTCTGTAGTCACTACTTTAACACTTGTGCTATGCAGGATCTCTCTGAAGCTGTATCAGGTGAAGAACTTGCCCGATATCTAGATCTTAAAAAATTGGATGAAAGGGTTTACATGTTTGAGGCTGTTTCTGCTTTTGATGGGTAAGATTATTCATTAAAATCGTGTCTCCTTCAAGTTTGAGCTCCATTGGCATGCATGGATGCGGTGGGAACTTTACAATCAATATGTATCATTGACCCTCAGTTTGTATAGGGAGTCTTGAACGGTCATCGTAACTATCCAATTCACCTTAAATTTAGAAAAGATTTAAACATTACAGTGTTTTTTACTGCAGGATGGGGATTAAAGAAGGTGTGGAGTGGTTGGTGGAGGTCATGGAGAGAAGCAAGCGAACTGAGACATTGAGAATTCGAGCAGGTGTAACTGGTCCTACTTAGAGCTTAGAGGGAATGATACCAAGCTTCAGTTGCTTTACCCTGCTTTTGTAGTTTCTGTAAGTAAATCAGGGTTCACAATAGATTTTATATTGATTAAAAGGTTAATCAATTTTTTCCACCACCTGCCAAGTATGCTTTTTTATTGTTTTGATGTTGTGTGAAATTCAGATTTAAGTGGTAATGCCCTGCAAGTTGTCGCCATTGAAATGGCTTCTCATTCATACTAATTGTAAAAGATGCTATTTTGTATGAGAAAAAAGTTCAATTGGAAAGGAGTTCTTATAAATTACAGACCAGCGTTCCTTCTTGGTATCCACTTATCCAAATGGCATCCTCTTCAAGTGGTTTTGCATGCAGTAGGGAGTGAATAGAGAGCAAGTTGTGGAGAGAAGAAAGTTGTTGAGATGCCAAAGCACAAAGATATCCACTACGGACCTAGAAAATCATGGAGCAACACCAAGGAACTAATCAATGAAGAGGCCTACGCTAATTGTTAATCAACTCCGAATAACAAACTATTCTCCAGGAAATAGCACTGTCTGTTCTCTCCCATAAAACTCTTGGGAGAATAGATTGGAACAATTTCCCTTTTAAGCTTCATTTAGATTTGGAAACACCTTCTTTTTCCTTGGTCGAACCAAACTCCGAACAAGAAAATCACATCCAACAAGACAAGGGGCAAAAGACAGCATTGCAGAACATAGAAGCAAGCAGCAAGGACATAATTTAACTCGAATAACCCAACACTCTGATTGTCCAAAATACCGTCCATGGATTTCATATGGATGGCTTTTGCACAGCAGCACCTGCAGCATTAGCCTTTTCCTTAACAATGGGCTGTGGTCCTGTTAAAAAAAACAGCAAACAAAGGGAAGGGAGGGGAGGAGATGTTAGACTTCTGTCCTGGGAATTTCCCTGCGTAAGGTACAGCCAAGTTATCAGGAGTAAGGACATGTTTACTAAAGACCAGCAGAAGAACACAGTACACACACAAGCACCAAAAACTGTCTTAAAACAATTTTTTTTTTCTTTTTTTTTGTATCTGAAAGATCAAAACTCTTCCTCCTAAGATGAATTATGAATAGATGTCTTCTTAAAGCTTTAAATGTTAAGCTAGGGAGAAGAACAAGCATAATTGATGATTGATTAATTTTATATTCGAGATTACAGAGCTTCACCATTCCTTAAAAATACATCATTCAATCAAGAAGGGCATTTTTCCAACTTTCTTTACACTGCAAAGCAGAAGAAGTTGCCATCAAATGTTGAAAGGAAAGCCGATGTGTAAAAAGTCCATGCTTAATTAAGTTATCTATGATCTTTCTTGGTTTTTGGTTTCCACCTTATCAACTACAAAGAGTGAAAAGCTAAATATATTTCGAAATTTTTAGACAAAGTTTAAAATGAAAGCGTTGAAATAGCATACCGGAAATCAGGGCCTTTGGCCTGTTCTTGAACAAAATCTTGTGGCGAATAACTCCAACAACATCGAGCTCCACCCTAGACGAAGCAGCCTCATCACTTTGGTCCCCATCCATGCACTTGATTTTCTTGAGCACCAACATGGGCTTCTTGAGGGCCACTTTTGACCCTGTTAATTCATGATACCCAACCGTGAAAGTGTAACTCTCCTGCAGGTTTATTAACATGAAGGAATTTCCGATCTTGTTAATGGGATTTTTAATTATCACTATTTGCTGCGATAATCTGAAGTAAAAACAGAGAAGAACCTGGGAAGAAGGACGGCAAAGCTGTCCGATTGTGAGGTTTTGGAGAGAATCCTGGAAGGAACGCTGCACTTCAACCACGCCTTGCAATTCGATTATTGCCCATTCAGGGCAGTTCTCTGCTCCGCAGCTACACTTGACCTGAATCTGCATTCTCTTTTCACTTTTATCTGCAAAACGGCACCGATGAGTTAAGGGAACAAACTATTAGTAGTCAAAACGATCTGGAATAATCGGATTTCTCACTGTACAAGAAAAATGGGGAACATTTACTTGGACGTATTTCAATTTGATATTTGGTGCTGGGAAATTGGCGGCAAGTAGTCGCGGGATTTTAAGTTGGTAGATTGAAAAACAAAAATAAGGGAACTGTTTCGCCTGCCGCCGGCAACGATTTTAACCCTAAAACGGCGTCGTTTAATTCTTCATAAATGTAAGCAGCCCCAATTGGCATCTCACAAGCCGATTAAGGTGGCAAGGGAATGATATATATATATATTACATTAGGTTGTTTCAAGCCAAGTTTTAACTTCTTTTTTGTTTTCTTTTAATGATTTTGGTTTGTTTACTTTCTAATATATGCACTCAAACATTAAATACAATCGAGTTCAAATCGAATCAACATTGATTCCTGCCTAAGCATCAAAACAACACATGGTGAAGATTAGTCATTTGCTACGTGCCCTTTTCTCTTTCTGATATACGCCTAGATGCAGCAAGATTAACCACCTAAACCAATAGAATTGAATGACAGATCATTAATCTACCAAAAAGGAAATGTGAATAATCAAGAACGCATAGCAGCACATTGGAAACGATGCCGGCACTACAATTAGTAGTTATGTGATTACAAATTCCACAGTGTCACACTGCCAAGCTAACTAGTGGGCTTAATGAGGCAAACCTCATTCTAAAATTACGTGTACCCAAGTGGGAAGCAATAACACTGCAATGTGAACAATGAACCATAGAGAGAGAGGTTACAAGGTTAGTAGTCTTTTCTAATTTCTAGCAAGTTTCCTGAACTATACAAAAAAGATAGCCTTCAGCATTCATGGCCTCTCTCCACTGCGATGGTGAGAATAATTAAATATAGGATTTATAAAAGCATGTTCTTTAGACATAGACTTCTCTGTAACATCGTATTGCTGGCATATGAAATCAGTTTGGGAGAAATTATCTATACCAACATCTGGCAGGGTCAAGTGATTACTGGATTGGGTCAGTGAAGAGCTCGGTTGCTGCAGAAAGTAATCCTGATTCTCCAGATCGTACTCAACTGGAATTGCCCCCGTCAGAGTTTTTATTGCAAACTCAATGCAAGGGTCTGCCCAGATATCTGCCAAAGGCGTATCAAGGGATGACCCAGGCTTGTCATCAGTCTTGTGGCCCTTTTCACCCTTTCCAGCATGTTCTTTTGGAGTAGCTGGGTCTGCCAGAGGCAGATCCATACCACATCCTTGTCTTTCAACACTCCCATTTCCATTTTCTTTCCTCTCAGCATGAACTTCTGGAGTGGCCAGAATCCCTGGACCTTTACTACTGGTCAACTCAGAGATCTTTGGATTATCACAGGGTATTCCAGTGAGAGTTTGAATGGCAAATGCAATGCATGGATCTGTCCATAAATCTGCAAGAGGCATATCAACAAGGGATCCTGGCACCTCACTAGCTTTAACATCACTTTCAACCTTTCCAGAATGTACTCCTGGAATAGTTGCATTCCCCAGAGGCAAAACACCATTATCTCCATCAGCCTCACTTTCTAAATTTCCAACAAGACCATTCATTGTCAACATTTCCCCAGAAGAAAGCATGTTATTCGGTGCCAGTATCAGCTCTTTACTCTTAGGAGAGTCCAGGTCACAGCTTGTTTCCAGAGCAGACTCGGGTTGATCAGGCTGTTTGGAGGCCCCGTGGATACACCTACCAGGGGAAGAACTCTCAGCTGCATCTGTTATCACTTCACTTAATTGCTTAAATGAAGATCGGCGAGCTCTGGCAGTTTTTAGTTCTGGTGTTGGATCAAGTGCAACTCCAGCAAGTCGCTTTGAAGCCCGTCGAGGAATATTAAATGCCCTTTTAAGCTTGGTCTTGCCCCTTCCCTGTTGGGTTTTTTCAGTTTCATCCTTTATCATCCCATTTTCACTAGACTGCTTATCTAAGAGGACTCCAACTACGTTGCCTGAGGCATGTACACCTTCTTCAGAATCTTTTCCTCCTATTTGTTCAAAGCCCTTAGCTTCTGACAGTTTCAAGCTGCTCAATTCAGCACCTATGCCAGCTGATGCAAGAGAAATTGGATTAGATGCATTGCCCTATCCAATATGATCAAGAAGCATCAGTGTCACCCAACACCCCAACTTTTTCAGCATCAAAAAGTCCATTACCAAAAATTAAACATATATCTTGTTCAGCTATATGTTCACCAAATGTTCTTTATCAATTTGTTCGGAGTCATATCTCATTAGAAAAATACCATAGAACTCTGGATCCCCCTCCCTAAAAATGATAAGATAAAAGGTAAAGCAAAACGAAGAAAGAAGAGAAAAGATCAATTAATAGGAAAGAACAAAAATAACATTAATCTTATTTTCAAGAGACTGCAAATTTAAACCTTTATGCCGATTAGTAGCATGTTTAGAGAGGGATGTATGTTCTCCAGTACTGGCAGAAGCAAGCATCTCTTCTTCCTTTGTTATCCCGCTCAAATTTGAGACCTGTTCTGCACTCTGTCTTTCTGTTTCATCAGTTATTCCATTCACACCTAACTTCAGTCTCTCAACATGGGCAGGTTCCTAAGGGACAGAGAATAAAATCACAAGAAAAGGTCAAAGTCTTGAACAATATAGTTCAACTGAGAACAATTTCTTGAGAATGAAACAGATATAAATGCTGCCTCAAGGAGTAATCTAGGGATAACTCCATTCAATAAATAAGGCAAGTCTTTGAAGTGCTCGCTTATTTCAGTCTTTGAAGCACTTATATATATCTACATTAAATGTCAACTCTGGAGGTTGATCATTGCATCATGTGATGGTTCCAAGAATTTGGATACATGGACTTCTGCAGAACTCTAAAAATAAAGATTAACCAGATGCATTTAATCTGATGAAAAACTTTAGTCCATTTCATTGTAACGTGTCAGCCATTTGCATATTGTTTGCTGTATCGGCCACTTGGATATTGTTTGAAGTATTAGCCCCACTACTTGTGATTGACAAGGAGAAGAAAATGCAAATAGGCAGTCTAAGAGAAAAAAAAAAAAACCCTTCAATTGTGAAAAACTTGTGATTTGGAATCACATCTGGTGTAGTTGCGGACCAACTTGGAGTCTAGGTGATTTCAAGGTTTAGAAACCTTGCTGAATCATAACTTCTCAGAATCATATAACTTAGACTCTAAATATGTATAAGCATATTCATCCAAAGATGTACAAAAAACAAAAAGAAAAATCAACAAAAATGTATCTAAATTACACACACACACACACACACATACATATAAATCCAGACAAACAAACTGATACCATAATCTGATCATCAAGAGAAAGACAAAGGCAAAGGTTCCAGGACAAGAGAATTTCAAAAGGAAAGCCTGTAATAAGATTGATCTTCAACTACATACTCTATGAGTGGATTACTAGTACTTGTCTCACAGATTTTAAACTGCAATTCTCCTCAGCAGGGTGTGACCGATAACATGTAAATCATTAACTGTTCACAGGAGATCGCATCAATTACATGTATACTAACTTTTTTAAAGCCAGAGTGTGCATTTCAATACCATTGTCCATCATCCAAAGACTTGGTGCAAAAGTATAGTTAAAATGCCCAAAGGCAAGACAGTTCTGCTGATAAACAAATCCAATTCACTGATAAATCTAAACAGGGTGAGTAAAAAGATAGATAACACTAAGCAAAGTTCGATATAGAATTAACTGAGAAATGAAAATATAGAAACTTGGAGAATCCAAACATGAGTATACATACACAGATATTATCTTCTTCCAAGTCCTCGTCATTGCTGCCTTTGTCCTTAGGCTTGAAAGCAAGCCTTCCAAGCTCCCCAGTTTCAACATAGCGAAGTGCATCCTTCATGGAACGAAATACATATCCACTCACAGGATCAGTGTAAAACTGCAGAAATTAAATATCAATTAAAGTAGCAGAGACCAGCAGCTAATAGGCATGGCAACAATCAACTTTAAAAGGAAAAAGAAAAAACCATAAGATCACAGACCAAGACTAATCAACATCCATGAACATGACTGAACAAGGATGGTCATAATAAAATACTGGTCAATTTTCTTTAGACAGCTTGTAGATAACTGTATGAAAAAAGTTTGAGTACCGGATCTTTTCTGACTCTATGTGCCCTCTTTGTTATCCTGATTTCCTTAATCCATCCTGGAGGTAACCCTTCTGCCGCAGCCTTCTCAACTGTAACCTAGATTGCTTGAACAATCAAAAATTTTCTTCTTTAGTAAACAAATCTTGGAGAAATCAACAAACATATAAAGTAATAACAAAAGGCAATAAGCAGATTTCATCAGCAGACATTTTTTGAAGATTGCTTGCCAGAGCCCTTTTCCTTCTCTTCTGTTTTACAACCACACTTGTCAAGATAGCGAGACACCTCTGCCCTGGAAATGAATCTAAGTTCACCACAGGGTGCATAGTAACACTGCAATAAGCCCAAATGTCATGTAAGCTTTGTATGAATCATCTTGCATTCAGAGTTGTTGCCAATAAGACGTTTTATTTGTTTGATGCATCCACCATAACTCTCACTAGTATTCAGAAATCAAAAAGAGATTCAGAAGTACTGCTATGCCAAAACAAATAAACAGCTACAAGTGATTTGAATACATAGAAGAGTATTGATGTATGCTAGCGGATGCAATGTGTCATACTGAAGAAACCACCAACAAATGAAGATCAGTGAAAAAATAAAAGCATAACAACTACAAGTGCTTCCCCCCCACTTGCATATAATATTACTTGATTTCCTTTTATTTTCCGAGAAGTAAGACAAAGGAAGAAGGTAGAAAAGCAACCTCTTAATTTCCAAATTGCATCCACTCCAGATAGAGACGAAGATAAATGGCACAAAAGGCAGTTAAATGCATTTTAGAACTCTAATAAGTTGTTCCTCACAAGACGATGAAGTCCTAATCCATTTGTGTTTAAGGCCCCACCCAGAAAATAAGAAAATATATTGCTAGAATTGTCAATGGAGATCTACCATCAAGCATGCGTAATGCATAAGGGTGCTAGACCCCTTTTATAGATGATCTCCATATCTCCAAGATCTTGAATTACAGCTTTTTCCTTCTCAAAAGTTCTTGCAATTCAGTTTGGCTCTAGTTACTATTTCAGCATATCAATTTAACAACCAGTATATTATGTGACAGATATGACAATGCTGAACACATTTTCTTTCTAATAATTTCATTTTCTAACAAAGCAACCACAGCTTCATTTACCACAAATTTGATTTTCAATAATTTCATGAAATTCACAGTCCACCTACAGCTTTAGGAAAGTTATCCAGAACCGTTAGTTTCCTTCAAAAATGAAACAAGTTAACATCCACTAAACATCTACACTAACCAATGATTACTGCATCATCAACCCTCCAAAACCAAAAGCATAAAGTAGCTGTTATTTTCTCCAAGCACTCAAGCAGGATGGGAAATCACCTCTTTAGCTAACCTAGGGACGTAAAAAGGGGGGAAAACTGAAAAACCGCAACAAAGATTGGAGGAGCTAAATACGACAGTTACAATACTAAAATCAGGAAGAAATTTACAGATACTTATCTTTCTCATGCTATAACCTCATAACACAAAAGATATTAGTAACTACTAATAGCGATGCAAGAAGCTCAAAATTGAAGTCCGAGAAGTAAAATTAGGTAAAACAAACCAAAGATCTTGCGATCCTAAAGCTAAAACCTTGATATGAAACAACATAGCTGCAAAAAAGCAGAATACTGAAACTGGGTTTTGCTTTTCGTAACTGATTTAACCAATTTACTTACCTTATCCTTTTTACCATTCCTTCTCTGTCTCACCTCCACTTTCCAGCCAGGGGGTAGCCAGTCATCAGTTGTCTGGTCCTCCATTTTTCCCAAATCTGAAGCTCACAGGTAACAACTCTCCAGCAACAAGCGGAAGAAGTAGAAGGAAAAAAAAAAAAAAAGGGTGTTCCTCTTGTATGTTTGTGTGCCTGTGAAGGAGAGTCCAAAGCCTCAAAAATGAGAGGAGTGAAAGTGTTAATGCAGACAAAAGGGATTCCTCAGAAACCACGTGTTGCCAAACTTGCTGTGCTTCAATTGAAGATACACACTCTTCAACGTGTCCCCCCTTCTACACTTTGGGTTTGTACATTAACAAGCAACAGCATATTCGCCAGTTCTCTTTTACTTTTGAAATGCAGTCAAACGTGAACCCATGAATTATAAAAATTAAGTGACATGCGCTTCGTTTGGGTTGTAATTTTTGGACCCAGACTGGCCCCTTTTGTCGTCAAATACAACTTATGTATTATTATATTTTTTTTCCCATTCTCTCTGGTAATGCACTGAATGGAGTATCCACTATGGCAGGCATGTGATTTGGTGGACAAAATAGTATGGGATTGGTCAACTTGTGCCCAATCAGGACTGACAAGGCTGCTGAAAAAGCACCTTGATCTATTTTTATCGTGTGGTCTGGAAGTATGGGATGATCTCTCCTCGATTTGCCACATAGATTTGGGAGTGTAGCAGTGGTCCGGTACCTTCCCAATTCCCACTCTTATCACTCTGTCTAGTGGAGTAACGTCTCCCGTACTTCAGCCAGTATAATTTATTACTTCTTCTTTGGAGATGGGCCTCGCTGGGCCGATGGACTCCTTTGATTGAGGAGCAGTAAAGACTGTGGCCCAACCCGATGAGAGCTTACCAATGCGTACCTATCCATGTCCTAGTTACTGACGGTATATTACTCGATTGCCTCCAGACAATCCACTTGAGATTTAGTAAGATTCAACTTGAATTTATTACATCAGAAAAATAAATATATATCAACAATTGGAACATACTCGTAGACTAAGTTTCCCACTGAAAAATGTAAATAAAGGTTACAAATTATTAAAAAATTGAATTCTTAATCAGATTTTAAGTCACTTATATTAGATGATAATGAAAAAATGATTGCTTTTAAATTCGATAAATTAAATATTTGATCCTTTTTCAAGTCAATATAGGATTAATTCTTTTTTATTATTAAACCCAATTTTATAAGTATGTAATTATTAAATGAAGTCAAAATTTTATGTTTTTTTGTCTCGAATCTAGATGCATTGTTGATCAAGTTTTCTTTTTTTTTTTTGTTTGTTACCATTTGATACTTGGGAATAGTAATTAGATTTCATTGGAGAAGACTTTTGTTTTTTAAAATGTATGAAAGCTTGAATCCAAATTAAGACGTTGAAAGATTGATACAACTTCGGAAACTGCCAAGATAAGAGATTTATCCTTAATGCAATACAACTTGTTTCCATTGAGTTATGTTTCAGCGGTCTTCTAAGTTCCAACTAACAACATTTCCCGTAATGGCTCAGAATCATTGATGTGCTTTCAAGTCAACCGCACTGTCTGCGAAAGCACCCAAGCTGCTTTCTTCTAAGGATCAAACCATGGTGACAAATTCGTTGAATGCAAGGAAACGTGTTAGGCACCCAGGAATTGAAAGGAAAATTAATGTAAACAGAGTCAATAAAGTTGGCGCACAGAGACGATTGAATTTGTTTTTATCTGAGCATTATTGGGTGACATGACATCCATAACCATAGTGAATCAGATTGAGGAATTGTTCAAAAGGCCTAGAGAAACTTGCAGCAGTTCTCCATAAACTCAAGACTCTTTTATCTTTCGTGGCTCAAAAGAATAATTAACAACTCTAATCAACAAAAAAACCTATACTGGTTCCTAAAAATTGTTCAGTACATTTAACTACAAGAAGGAAGAAAGCCCCCACATAACCATACAGCTTAATGAGACCACTTAATATATGCTCTTCGACTCTATTAAAATATACTATACCCTAATTAAAGAAGCGTCTTGTTCTGTATCTCTATTATCCCGAAGCAGAAACGAAATTTTGTTGCGGCCGGAGCCAATCAATTATGAAGTGGGTTTGGTCCACCAGGGACAAGTCGATGTGAAACGGCGTGCACTGAGCTGATTTTTTTGGTGCCAGCAGGCTTCCCAAGGATATAGATGGCAGAGAAGCTTCTATAGAACATAGGAGAATACTTGTCTCTCAATCTTTGATCTGTTTCTTTACTGGTTGCTTGGCTGATATATCGGCAACTGGCGACTCGAATCAAGCCTAGGATGATGAAAAAGGTTAGAAACAGGAATAGAGAGTTTTGAGTTCTCATAGTGGGGGAAAGAGCTAAGAAGAAGAAGAGGATTGTATGGCAGAAAAGCAAAGGTGTTTTCTTTTGCTTGTGTGTGTTGGTCGCTACCAGTCTATATATAAAGGGTTAAGCTGACTGTGATGAG